CGGGGCGGACGCTGCCGGGAGGAGGCTCCGGGGAAACCCCGGCCGTCCCTGTGCCTTCTCTCAACACGGGGACACGCGACATTTACAGGCCGATAACAAGATGAATGTGACTGGTCTGGTTTTTCATTTCTCTACATAAAAAACCTTTGCATCAAGAAACAAAGCCTGCACGTAATGTCTACGACTTGGGATGTTCTTGGAGATGCATTTTGTATCTGTGGCGATGGCTGGCGTAGGTGGGATTCTTCAGCCCAGGTCCCTCAATTCCGGGATCAGACGCCGCCTGCGGAGGGTGAGCGTGGCCCTCGTAGCCGGGTGCCTAGCCCGGAGGGACGTGGGCGCCGGAGAGAGGCCGTGCGATGATCTGTCTCCAGGATTTTCCCATCTGAACTCGGCCAATTGGTGTCTTGCAGGCGCTAAAGAGATCGACATCGCAGCCACCCTGGAGCACCTGAGGGACCAGAGGCCAGGCATGGTCCAGACCAAGGTACTCCCCGGGCTGTGGGCGCAGGGCCCAGGGGCCACCCAGAGGAGGCGGCACGGCACAGCCCCACCCGCCGCCGGACTGTCTAGGCCCCAGAAGTTGGGGAGTTGGGGAGACATCACGTTTTTATAGAAAGAGGTCAGAGCTAGCCCCCCACCCTGGAGGGGAGCTTTCCAGACTCTGCCCAGTCCCAATTACCAGCTCCCACAGCCACAGCTCTGGGACGGGGCCACGGAGTGTCCCAGGGTGCACTGGGGTCTCCGAGCACCCCTAAATAGTTCGTGTGCACACTCACCGAACAGGCCGAGTTGGCAGCATCGGGGGTGCAGACAAGACCACGTTGCCTCAGGGGAACCAGGACTAGAACCAGGTGAAATGCATTCCAGAAATAACCCTCTCCAACCACAGCCCACGCCCGCCCCACGCCGCTGCCTGAGTCACACAGCGGCCTCTCTTGCTGGGTGTGTCCGGCCGCTCTTGCTCCTGGTGCCCACAGGAGGCTCACGCCCCGAGAGAAGCCTCTCCACGCTGCCTGCCCACCCTCAGGACCTGGTTGTAAGAGTGCTGCTGTGACACCAGCTGCCGAGATGCAGGCAGGGGGTGCCTGGAGCCGGGCGGCCCAGTCCTGGGACCAGGGAACCGTCGCCTCCGGCCTTGCGTTCCCCCGCGAAGTGAGCGTGGCCCCTTGGTCCTCTCTCTGACTGTTAGAGGGTTAAACGGGCCCATGCAGTGTTTGAGCTGGAAGGGAGAGAGGACGATGGAGTCCCTACCTGGAAGGTCACTGCAAACACCTCCGCCCAGGACAGGCAGAGCGGCCCGGGATCTTATGTGATCCATAGGGAAGTATGCCGGAGTTCAACACACACTTGAAGTTTCTTAAAAAGACATTTTTTATTTAAAATTATAAATTTTATTTTGAAACTATTTTACACCTGGGAAAACATTGCAGAAATGATACATATCATGTACAAGTGCCCTTCAAACATCCCCATGCCTCAGCTCAGGTCATCCCAGGGCAGGGGTCAAGGGTAGGGTAGGGGGTTTGGCTGATTCCTGAAGCTGGGGTAACTCTGCCTTCCAGTGGCTGAGGGCCGGATCCCCGATGGTCGTCACTGTGACTGTCCTGCCCCGTCTGCCCTCACTGTGCGTCCCCCTCAGAGGACCTGCCTGTGACTCACGCCCCCTCTCGTCCCACAGGCGCAGTTCGAGTTCGCGCTGACAGCGGTGGCCGAGGAGGTCAACGCCATCCTCAAGGCCCTTCCCCAGTGAGCGGCCCGCAGCCCGGCCGCCAGCCCGCGGGGAGGCACGGCGTCAATTAAGTGTCTCCAGTGTAACTGCCTAGTAATAATCCCATAGTCACTACAGCTTAGCAGTTAAAAATGTGTATTTTTGTTCAATTAAATAATAATGAAGAGAGGTTTGTGGGATCGTCCGGTTTGGGGGGCAAACTGTCCATCTATCCTCACCGTCTTGAAAAGAATTCCATTTTCCTTAAAACTCAGTTCTCACTCTCAATCGCAAATACTATTGTGTTTCTACTGCGCGGCTCACGTATGTGTGCTCCTGGGAGTCGGCTTGTGACCTGTAACTTCCCAGGTCATCGGCCGCGGGGGGAGGGGGCGGGGGGCCACCAGGCACAGAACGGGTGCCGCTTGTCATTAGGAGGCTCCTCCGAGGAGAGACCAGGGCCTGTCAGGAGCGAGATGGACAGAACTGGTGACCTTCTGCAGCTTTGGGACCAATAATAACGAAATTGTCCCAGCATCCTTCCTGCTCTGGGCAGCTGCCCTCCCCTGAGCACTGCTCACCGCCACCACCCTCCCCCGCTGCGGGGGGCAGGGCCCCAGGGGCAAGCACTTCCCAGCCACGCAGGGGGTGACAGGTCGCCTCGGCAAGGTCCTAGGTGAGCCCCAACCTTGGGAGCGTTTTCAGCTGTGGAAACGGGTTTACACACAGCAGACACCGACGAACACTTTCCTGCGGGAAAGCCTTCATCAGGGGAACCGATCGGGCGTGGGGCCCTCTCGAGGTTCCCAAAGAGCCCACGTCCCGTCAGCGCCCCTCTCACGGGCGCCCTGGAGCTGCTGGCGTCCAGAGACCGCGCCGCCCCCCACGCCTCTCCTCTACGTGAGAGCAGAGCAGCTGCGAGCGGAGACCGCCAGCGCCTCCCGGCAGGTCGGACCCGGCCGCTGAGGTTGGCACTGCTGTCACAGACCAGCCGCTGGAGGTGGTGCAGGTTTGCCAACATGGCCGTGTCAGCCTGACTACCCCGTGCCAGAGAGAGAAGAATCGAGTCATTAACAGGACAGCCAGGTCTGAGAACGGCGGCTGCACGCGCAAGTGTCATCCTGGGGTTGGGTGCAAAGGGGCAGTGTGGCCCCGTCCCCTCCCGCACCTGCCCGGCTCCAGCCCCAGCAGATGCCACAGGACTTGAGAAAGTGACCTGCCCAACGGGAGAAAGATGCCAAAATATCGTTTGTGTCTTTAATGTTGTCGTGTGTGCGTGTGCTGTAAAGTCGCTGTAATTTCCCCAGAGCTATTTCTCTACCTGGAAATCTACATGATTCACAGAGGCTAACTTATCTGAACATAAGGAAGCATATACCGGCTGTAACTCCAGCTTCTGAGGTTCCCAGGGCACCTGCGCTGTGGGGGTGTATTCATCCAATTGAGCCGCATTAAAGTGCCGCTTCCACACGCAATGGTCTCTATTTGGGGATGAGAGCGGTTTTCTTACCCATCCGTCCGTTCCTGGCGTGGGCTCAGGCTGCAGAGACCACACGTGTCTAGCATGTGGGGCCCGGGCAGGTGCCCCCTCCCCGCCTCAGTCCTGGGCGAGGAGGTCCCACCAGAACCGCTGGCCCAGCGAGCCCAGGACGGGCCACAGCAATGCGCCTCCAGCTCACAGGCCAACGTGCTGGGCCGTGTGCACCCCGACCAGGGCCTGCGGACTGGCTGCCAGTGAGAGGGGAGGCGGCAGAGCGGGCTGATCAGGATTTCAGTGATTCCTGAGCAGCGCCCATGGAGTTGAGGGCCTGGTGTCCATCAAGATGTGGGTGGTCACTCCTGAAGAATCTGCTCCCGACCTCAGTCACGCTCGTGGGCTCAGTCCTTCTGAGACCCTCCCGCCCCACGCAGCTTCCTGCCGAGCGGCCGCTGTGCGGGCCACTGCATCCCGAGCCCGCCACACCGGTATGTCTCCTCGTGGTAAATTCGCATCAGGCAGAGGCCCCTCCGGCCACGAATACGTGGGACACTGGACCGAAGGTCCTTCAGAAACAGCCCCAGCAGCTCCACAGGGAGCCGGGGTCGGTGGGCAGACACTCCCCGAGCCTGCACGGCCGGGGTTCGAGCGGGAACACGTGCGGCCAGTGCACATGAAGCCCTCACCTGCAACGGCTCCTGGCTCCTGGCTCCACGGCCGGGGCCACTGGGCCTGGAGACGACCCGGTGCTGTGGGACCCACTGGAGGCCCAGCACTCAGGCCAGGCACGTCCTCCAGGGGCACTGGGCCCAGAGCCTGAGGGAAGGCACAGGCCACACCACGCACACACACGCACGCACACACTCCACACGCACGTATGCACACGCACACACACGCACACACCACACACACACACCAAACACACACACGCACACCACCACACACACGGCACGCACGCACACCACACACACACAC